TATCGCCAATCAAGGCTCAGTAATGTGCTGAAGGGAGCAATTCCTCTCCTGAAATCACAGAAAAGAACAGATAGAAATCCTTGGCTGCTGGCTTGATACAAATCCTTACCAAATCAGATGTGAGCTTTTCCCTCGGGTCAGTTTTTGTCTTTCCACTCACTTTGGCTGATCTGCAATAGCGCACACACACACATACACACACACACACACACACACACAAACACACACGGAAAGGGAAGGCACAGGCAAGCGGGGGGCTCCCCTGCCAGCATGGGGAGAGCTCGGGGGAGCAGATGAGCAGGCAGCCAGAGCAAACGTATTCATTTACACTTGTCTACTCTAACTAGATCCAGATTAATTAGTGAAATGTTCCCTTTGAGTCTGTTGAAAGCAAAAGACCATTTGTTTTTCCTACTGACACTTCACACCAATTGCTACGTTCACATCTTCTCATGGAGGGCTCCCACCCTTCATATCTCCAACTCTGCAAGGGCACCACGGTTGCACGTTCTCAAAGAGCTTTTTGTAACTCCGTGCTATGGCAGCGCAATCCTGACACGTAGCCACATCAGCACTGGCAGCTCCTCTCATCTTTCTTTTGAAAACCTGAGTCTGACAATGACATCATTTTGTCTCAAAATGGTTTTGCATGTTTTTATAATAAGCGCCACAAGCACTACCCTGCTTCCCTAATGAACCACAGTTGATTTTTGCCTAAAAGATGGTATAGATAGGAAAACGCAATTTTTAAATGCCATTCCAATTAGACAATATGGCAACCAGAAAATACTTGTATTTTAACTTTCAAACTATTACCATGGCTACACAGAAGAATACTACAGAATAGGAAAAGTAAATTCACATGGCTGCTTTGCAAGATGCAAGCTACTTCCATTACACTCAGACATTTAGGAAATACGGATCCTGGGCTTCCCTTGGTGAAGTAGGTGAGTATTTCCTTGCATCTGCCCTCTCTTCCTTATCTTACCCATAATAGGCTGTTTGATTTCCAATAGCATTAAATCAAAGGCTTTGGTATGAACACATTTGACCCTGCTTCCAATAAGCAGCAGTAACTAATAGTAAAGTTACACATAATACAGAAAACAATAAATATAAAATCGGTAAAGCAGAAAAACCCACAATGCAACAAATAGAGGGATTCAGAAAATTCTACAGGTATAACTTGATTTAAAATAATACAGGATTTAAAAATATGCAATTGTGTAAAAAAGAAACCACAAGATAAATTATGCCAAAACATTTCATAGTTTATCACACTGCTGCTTCTGCTGACAATAAAACAAAATAAATATTTGAATGTCTCTGCGGTAGTTCTACGACTTTATAGGACTGCTGGTGTTAATTTCAAAAAAGTCCTCATAAAACACCAGGTGCAATGTATCCCAAAAAGTCTATTTCATTTGGGGAAAAAAAAGTAATGGAATAAAAGGAGTAAGACAAATTTGAAGAAAACCATTAAACCAATTAATTCAACAGAACTGGGATTTGTATCTTACAAGCAGTTCAGCTCTGACAAGTTGCTCCCCAGAAGGGACTCTTCGGTATCCAATTAGCAAACCCATTAGCAGTTCTGTCCAAATTGTCAACTAAATACCCTGGAAGACATCAGTGATGGACTGATGTGAGAAGCTGAGAACCAAGAGGGAGAAGTAAAGAAAAAAAGTGAAAAGGGAGCGAGGATGGAGGGGAGAGAGAGGGGAACCCTCCCCTCCCGGCAAATCCCACTCCTGCCAGCAGCCCTGTGCTGTGATGCTGGACACGGCAAATGCAGCATTTATCCATCACCAGGAGGGGTGGTCCTTGAGACCAACACCATAGGATTTTTGGTGGCTCAGGCTTTCCTGTGGATTCTTTCTATGTGAAAAGTTGTGCCAATTTAATCATATTATGTTAGTCTTTCCAGGAAAATGCATGTAAAAACCTGAATGCAGATTTATTTACAACCATTCACACCATCCTAAACTTCATTTACGATTTAGGTTAAGAAGTCCTCAACATGTGTAACAATTTGAACTTCTTTGGAGTTCATTTACTTAAACCAGAGCAATATTTCTGATACAAAATAGGCGAAAATGTCTCCCTGCATCCAGGCTGAAACTCTTGTGTTTCAACTTATGTCCATCACCTCTGCCTCTCCACCTGGCCCTGCTTTGGCAATCCTGTCTCCATCTCCTCCGTGACCTCCCCACAGGTGCTGGGGGCTGCTGGCAGGTCCCCCTGAGGCCATCTCTGCTCCAGGCTGCGCAAGCCCAGCTCCTCCAGCCTCTCCTTGCAGGACCAGTGCTCCAGCCCCACCTCCTCAGGGTCCTCCCCTACCATTTGTCCAGGCTGGGCGCAGGATTCAGGCACCGTCTAACGACTGGTGAGTCAAGGGATTAATGATGAACAGGGTACGGGACCCTGGCATGAGGACAGCCCATCTCATTCCTTTAGCTGCCTTTTCCTAGTGCTTTCCAGTTGTTTTTGCATTTACCAACTCATAATTTTGTGTGCTTCAAATACTAAGCAGATGTCAGCTAAAATACACTTTTTGGTCAAGTATCTCTCCTTCAGCTTGTAGCTGTGAGCCTGGGTGGGAACTGGTGCTCCAGGCAGAGCTTTGCTGTGTGGCAGACCCTGCAGAGGAGCTGCTCACCACCCAGAAGTGCTCTGGCACTCCCCAGGGTGCTTTTCCCACCCCCAGACAGCCATTCCCTCATGGCAGAGCCCTCCATCTGCAACAAGTGGTCACCAACACATGGACCGTAGGAGAATGCACATTATTTCTTGTCCATTTACTCTAATCAACTTCCACAAACTATTTTACCAGGACACTGGTTCCTAAAGACATATTATGTAGTGGTACCACTAGAGTATCACACTGGAGCACAGAAGTTAAAACTTCACTCATTAAAATATTTTATTAATAAGCAAATAATAAAGAGGCAAATATTTTATGACACAATCAAGTTTTAACATATCTCAGAATAAACTGAAGCAATGCAAGCTAATTAGTTATGACGTCATATGCTCATAGCAAAACAGGTCTAAACCTGAAAGTAATTGCAACCTTCTACTGTCTTGTCTGAAATACAAAAACATACATAAAAATGAGGAAATCAGCCCCATAATTAATTTACTATTACTTAATAAGGCATCAGGAATGAGGACTGACCTCCCCAACTTCAGATGTCTAAATGGAGGTCGAGCCATCGCTGTGGCAATAAAAAGTAATTGAAGAAACCTGACAATTCCAGGTCTATATTGGGATAAAATAAACTGAGCTTAGAAATTTCCCTTTCTCTCCATTGGTTATAAAGCAGCACAGGACAACCTCTGCATTACACCTCCCATCCCATGTTTCACATCCAGAGATGTGTTCTTGGCCCACCACTTATGTCAAGCAATACAAGTTATCTTAGGTCTCTTTTACTGTGACCTACGCAGAAATAAGTGGTATTGGCATGTTCACGCAGACATTTCTGCTGTTCTGCTCAAAATGGCAACTAATGAAGTTTCAGTAACTTGTGTGCTGCATGCTCTGTAAAAAAACAAGATCTGAAATGCCCCCGAGCTAAGCATTAGCAAAATGACAGCTTAACGCTTCTGCATCTGTGCTGTGACTGAAGCTACATGACCAGTTAGCACGAATTCGGAAATGTTTAAGTCAAGCAGCATGGGTATAATGCACTACTTCGAGTTATCTTTACTATCTGCATAAAAATACTGCCCCAAGGTTGCAGCAGATCAAAGTCCAACTATATTACAGGGTACATCCATTAATTCAACACCCACTTTGCCTGCTGTGGACCGAAACATGCCACTGCAGCAGCTGAGGATATTACTACTTCCAGGTGTGTACTCTGTCCTTACACAGATGTTGTGTCTCCTGTAGGAAGGGCAGCAGTAAAGCATAAATGCTACATCTAAGCCACTGCATTTCCCCCTGTAGGGGAGCAAAATAGCAGATACCTGGGGTCCCTTCAGCTGCTTAATTCCTAAAGAAGCACTCCTTGCTTCAGATAATGTCCAAAATAGACATGGCAACACTGAGGTGAACTGGCTTCCTAAGACCATTCAGATGGACGTGGAGTAACCTGGTTCAGACTATCCACTACACCCTGCTGTCTCCCAAACTAGCTATTAACATCAAAATCTCTTATTTCTCATAGACAAGTCTTAAAATGGAGCACATATTTATGCAGCAATGCAAATGGCCATCATCAGACATCTGACTTAAGCATGGGGGCAAATCAAGTGCATGGTCTTAAAGACTGAGTAGGTCTCGGGAAAGTCTTACACAACCGGGGTAGGGGATGGGGGGGAATTCTGCTCTATTTACTCACACTTAGATCATCATACATGTACAGAAGTGCCAAAGGGAAGGAATGGAGGAGTAATTCTGTCCCCTACATTGTGAACCAGTTACAGAGCCAAGTTGAAGTGACCTTACTGCTGCTGAGGTCTCAGCTCACCAGCCAGTGGGTCCACTCTTCGCTCAACACAGCTGTCTCCTGTCTGCAGTCAGTGCTTTATAAATTAGCCTTGCTGCCACAGTGACTGGCGGGTGAGGGCTTATTTTCTTCAGTGACAAACAGCTGATGTTTGCCTATTTCAGATCCCTGCGTAAGCAAATATCGTTCAAGCACTGAATTCCTAAGCTGAAAAATGCATTATTTAAAACATGATTGTGTTCTGGCATTGCACAGTATTAATATTGCTAAAGCTGCTTAATGATTACACATCTAATGCATATATATAATAATTTGATAAATTGTAACTAAACTTTTAAATAACTGTTTCCAGCTATTCATGTATTACATCATGACAAACCTGGACCAAATGTTTCATTGGTCTCGACATCTGTGCATAGCATTGGTTGCACATTCAGCCTTTTCTTTCGAGGGGGCTCCTTTTTTCTCTTTTCTGACCAAAAATCTCCAGTTTTTATGAAAATCTGCTCTTCATGTGGTCTCTCCTGTTAAGCAAGGTGCACCTCAGTCAGATTTCAATTGTTTTTTCAGTTTGGCAAGACCAGTGAGACATTCATCTCTCCATTTTCTCCTGGCATCCAGGACTTCTGGAACAACCGGAATTTTTTCAGACATTGCCTGGAACAGAAAATGTAAGATTATTAAATCTCATGTTCTGAGTAAAAAGTTTCTCACCTGCACTGTCTTCCTGCTTTCCCTGTGTCAGACCAAGAAACCATCCACACAAACTGTAATTTAGTCTATCACAAGCAATAGGCCAGTAATTCTTTACATGGGTGACTGGAAATCACAGAATCACAGACTATTAGGAGTTGGAAGGGACCTCAAAAGCTCATCCAGTCCAACCCCCCTGCCAGAGCTGTGTGACCTAGACCAGGTCACACAGGAACGCGTCCAGGTGGGTTTTGAATGTCTCCAGAGAAGGAGACTCCACAACCTCTCTGTACAGCCTGGTCCAGTGCTCTGTCAAATAAGCAAACCTGTGTGAGAAATAAAGAGCTCCCACTCAGAGAGGGTTGGTCTGAATGTGGCAATGAAGGTGCCTACAGAAACGTCAAAGCCTCAGCCTCACACAGCCACTGTCTAGTCTCTTTGATAATAACCTTTTATTAAATAGGAAGAAGGCAGCCTGGCCATTTATGTGGCTAAAAATGTGCTCTAAACCAAATTCTTATGTATGTGTGTGTTTAAAGCTGTGGTCTCTCTTCTGGCTCCTAATAAATGTAATGAGGGATTCCATGTTATAATTGAAATGACAGGGGAAGACACATAACAAACCCAGAATTATTCTTTTTGTTGTTTACTGGAATATGGAGGAGAGAAAGTACAGCAGTATTTGAGGACACAAAGGTAGAAGTCTGAACAAGTTAGCACGCAAACATGGTATTTAAAACAAAGTGGGGAAAAAAAGTATTTCTGAATGTATAATCAAAGTTGTTTTAAAAGTGCCAGTTAAATGTATCATTGAAAGGAGAATAAGAGGCAGTAAGCTCTGGCTAGATAGAACGTTCTATCAGACTTTCTTTCACAGAAAAAAGGCTGTTTTGAGAGTGCAGGCAGAGATCTCAAGGTCATCTTTGCTAAAATAGCACTTGAGGTCTTAGATTTAAAAGGCAAGTGTTGAGAAACTGGGTAAAACCTGGACCTGCTACCAATGAGGGCAATTTGCAGTCACTCCAGACAAAAAGCCAGGGGGAGGGACAGAGGAGTAAGATAAGACTTGTTTAATGTTTTACTCTTAGGAGGATTCTTGCAAGCCCATCTTTGGCACTGAAGACCAAAGATAATAAAGAGACGCAGAAACAGATGTTGAAGTGGAATCCAGCTTTCCATAAAGAAACTCAAACTGTTTCATAGTAATAAAAAGCTCTTAATTGTGAGTAACTCCACAATTATTATTGATTTCTATTATAAGAAGTCTATGTTGTTTAAGCATAAAAGATTCTTTTTCCTTTTTAACAGAGCTGATGATGAAATTGTATAAATAGGAGCAAAAAAAAAAAGGAACAAAAATGCCAGAGAGCTTCCATATACGGCATTAATCTGACAGCTAATCAAGAATGATTCAACACATACATGTGTCCTTTAGTGAAGCATTAAAAAAAGGCAGCTATTAAAAGGCAGAGTTAGGAAATAACAATACTTCAGTTAATTCCTGTGAACATACAAAATAGCCTATGTAATGAGTATAAACAAATTGTGGGCTTACAAATGTTAATAGACAAACTGGGTCCCAATCCAGTGTGGCACTTAAACGAATCTTATCCTTAAACAAGCAAGTAACCTTGCCAGACTGCTCATATGCTTAACTGAGATGTGTATTTGCATGTATCACAGACTGGAGCTCCAGTCTGCAAAGTATACAAAAACAAGAAAAAGAACACCCAGCAGAAAAAAATCTACAGGGTTTATGCAGTAATACGAAGCAGGAAGAAGCTCCAGGTGGAAAGCCATGAGGAAAGGAAGTTTGGAGCCGTGCATATTATGGTAGAAGACACAGGACAGAAGTGGTAAAAAATAGTGCAGAAGATTTAATGTCAATAACCCATAGTTGTTAACAGTTAACTCCTCTGTCGAGTAATAATGTTACTCAGCTGCTACATCACTTTCCCTTGATGTATGTCAAAGTGTTTTAAAAAGGAACTTACAAGCTTTCTGTACTGATCTCTTCATTCAAAGTACACATTCATATAAGAAATACAGATTATAGACACCTCTAACAGTAAACTGAAATGGTACAAATGTTAAAATAAAAGCAAACATTCCTAGTTCTGAATATCAACTCTGTCTTTACCTGATGGATTTTCTGCTCAGTTTCACCCGAAAATTCTGGAACTGGTCCAAAGGTGTTCAGAACAAGACTCATACCTTCATGGTATCTTTCACAATAATTTGCAAAACCTAAAAATAAGAGTGAAAGATTGCATTTCAACAGAAATTCCTACTTAAGTTCAGCAAGGCTGCCTGTGCTTAAGTATTGTCTTAAAGCAGAGTCTAAAAAAGAGGTGTGCTCTTACACTTAAGACATCTAATTCTCACGAAGGAAAAATGGATACTACCCACCACATTTCCATTAAGGTTCATGGAAAAATTATCCAGGACATGCCTTCACTGCAAAACCAATTAAAGTTACATACCAACAGGCAATGCTATGTGAGGGGTGTAGTAGGAGGAACAGACGGATCCTGCAGATCAACACCTAGTATTGCAACTGGGGTTAACAACAAGGATTTGGCTTTTATGACCACAGGACCCTCTTTGACGGTTGAGCCCTGCTTGGGGGAGACGGGATCCACCTGACAAAGTGAAGAAAAAGCAAATTTGCCAAAAACCTGGCCAATCTGTTGAGAAAATCTTTATATTAGGAACACTGGAAAAGTGAGATTACAACCTGTAGTTAAGTGAGAAAGGGGTGTACAGGGGTGAAGAGTGCAGAGTAACAAATACAAGAGAAACCTCAAGAAATTATTAAAAAAGGCAGAAGGAGTCCACCTTTAGTGTATGTCCACAAATACACACAGCCTGGGAAACAAGCAGTGGAAATAGAGTTCCATGTGTGGTCACACAACTACAACGTTGTTGGAGCAACTGAGGTGTGGTGGGATGGCTCACACAACTGGACTGTTGCAGTGCACAGATATACACCTCAGGAAAGACGAACAGGAAAGAAAAGGAGAGCGTCTGCTACCTCTGTAAAAGAGTAGCTCAGGTGTAAGGAGCTGTTTATGGGATGGGCAAGACCCTGCGGGTCAGCATCAGCAGAGATGCCAGTAAAGGACAGCATCCTCCAATGGCAAGAACAGTCCATCCTGATGTTCAGGAAGACCAGTAAATGTACCAAGAGATTGGCTTGGATGAGCTCTGGTGCAAAAAGGCAGCATACAAGAATTGGAAGCAGGGACAGGGTGTAAAGGAGGAATTTAAAAACACTGCCTAGGCATGTAGGGATGGTGTCAGGAAAGCCAAAGCTCGGCTCCAGTTGAGACTTGCAAGGATGTCAAGGGCAAGAAGAAGTACTTCTGCTGTTACATCAGTTGTAGGAGGCTGAACAAGGAAAGTGTGGGCCTGTCGCTGAATGGTGGGTGATTTAGTGACAGGAAAAACAGGCAAAGCGGAGTTACTCATTGCTTTCTTTGCTTCAGTCTTCATTGACAAGGTCTCCTATGCTTCTGAGCTTAGAGGCAGGGTTCAAGGAGGAGAAGAGTTATCAGCAGTAGATGACAATCCAGTCAGTGCCTACCTGCAAGAACTCGGCCCCACCTGAGACCATGGGACAAGACAGGCTGATATGAGAGAAATGGCCCATGCCCTGGCAAGGCTGCTTTCCCTTGTATTGTAAAAATCATGCCAGTCAATGCATCAATGCATGTGAGATCCCCAGATGACTGAAGGCAAACACTGCACGCATCTTCAGAACAGGTCCAAAGAACAATCCCGGGTACTACAGGCAAATCAATCACACTTCTGTCCCTGAGAAAATCAAGGAGCAAGTCCTCTTGAAATGAAATCCTGGGCACAGGAATAAGAAAGTGACCTAGTCTAGGCGATCCTGCTCTGGGAGGGGGGTTGGACTGGATGATCTTTCAAGGTCCCTTCCAACTCCTAATATTCTGTGATTCTGTGACACTCAGCATGTAGTCACTAAGGGGTAAACCATGGTGTAAACCATGTCTGATTTATCTTCTAGTCTTTTGTGATAAAATAACTGGATTTGTGGAAAACAGGGAAGTGGATATAATTTACCTCAACTTTAGAAGAGCATTTGACACTGTCTCCCATGATAGTCTTCTATCAAAGTTAGGGCATTACAGTCTGCATGCTTGGATAGCTACATGCACAAAAAGCGAGTTGGATACTCAGAGGTAGTGGTTAATCACAGAATGTGTTGGGTTGGAATGGACCTTTAAAGTTCATCCAGTCCACCCCCCCTGAAGTGAGCAGAGACAACGTCACCAGATCAGGTTGCTCAGAGCCCCATCAAGCCTGACTTTGAATATCTCCAGGGATGGGGCCTCCACCACCTCTCTGGGCAACCTGATGGTGATCTACTACCCTCATATTGAAGAACTTTCTTCTAATATCCAGCTTAAATCTACCCTTTTCTAGTTTAAAACCATTACCCCTCATCCTATTGCTACATGCCCTAGTGAACAGCTCTTCCCCAGATTTCTTATAGGCACCTTTCAGGTATTGGAAGGTCGCTAAATGTTAATGGGTTGTATTCTACTTGGAGGCCAGTAAAAGTGGAGTATTACAGGAATGTATTCTGAGTCCTGTACTGCTTAACAGCACTTGCTCATAAAGTTTTTGATCGATACCAAACTGGGTGGGAGTGGGATGTGTGTGGGGGGAAGGAGGATGTGCCAGCTGATACCATGGAGGGCAGGGCTGCCCATAGACAGGCTGGAGGAATAAGCCAATACAAAACCTTATAAAATGTAACAAGGATAAATGCGAGGTCCTGCACCTCAGAAGGAAGAGCGCCTTCCAACAACACAGTTACTACCCCTCTTTACTTGGCACTTGTTAGACTGCATCCAGAATACTGCATTCAGTTTGAGATCCCCTAGTACAAGACAGACATTGGCAAACTGGAGCAACTGCAGAAGAGAACACTGAAATGGTGGTGCTGCAGCACTCGCCCTGTGAGGAGAGGCTGGGGGAGCTGGGCTTGTTCAGCCTGGAGCAGAAATGACTTTAGGGGGGTCTAACAGCAGCTCCCCAGTGCCTACGGGGTCACTGAGCAGACTGAGTCAGGGTCTTTACAGCTGCATGGCAGGAAGACAAGTGAAAACAGGCACAATTTGGAATGAGAGGTGCAGTCTGGATACTCAAGCACTGGTACAGGTTGCCCACAGAGGTTGTGCAGTCTCCATCTTTGCGGGTTTTCAAGACTGGATGAAACCCTAAGCAGCTTGGTCTGACCTGAGAGCTGACCCTGCTGTGAACAGCTTAAAAAACATGCGGTCAGAGAACCTGAGAGCCAGCTACCTGGTAATAAGGGGTAAAATGGCAGTCAAGTAGATCTTGGCTAAATTAGGGAAAGGTCCAGCTTCCATCAGCTGCAGTAGGAATCTCAAAAAAGTACTGTTGAGGCACTAGAGAGGAACAGGAATGATAAATACACCAGAAAGAGAAATCAGTCATTTAGCCAGACATACACATCTAGTAGACTTTGTAGTGCTATTAACTACCACATAATTCGGAAAGGATAAGGCAGCCTTTCCCACTGTACATCAAACAAGAAGTCATGAGCTGCACCACAACAGTAACTGAGCAATACCTGTCTGGCAGTAAGCAACCCGACACAAGTTAAGAATGTGAATATCCTGATAAACATGCTAGATCTGAGAGGGGAAGTTCCTAATATCCACTAAAAGCTTGTCACAATCTCCCTTTTCTTAGAACCATAGAGACTGAAGACTTCTGCGTCCTTAACTCTCTTTTCATTGTCTAATTATCAAAGCAAAAAGGAGAGAGCTGCAGAAGACAAAAGCACGCAGTTATGGTCATCAACTCTTTCACGAAGACTCAGGAGACTGTGCAGATGGAGAGCTGTTCATGGTCTTATTCAACCACAAAATGCAGGAAATGTAAGTGGGGTGGCCTGACTACCACACAAAAGAATGCAACTCAGGTCAAGAGTCATTAAGCAGCCTCTTTCCTGAACAGCTTGCAGACAGTTCCCTGGAATGCAACGCTGTGCGATATCAGTAGCGTAGAAGTCACACCTGTCTAACCCTAAATGGCTGAGGTTGAAAGGTGGGTGAAGGAACAGAAACCTTTACTACTGGCAGCTATGAATCATAAACTACAACACTTACACTGCTCAACATGCCTGAAATCGCTGAAGTACAGGTTTTCCAAAAGGCCTCTGAAGTCAGAAAGAGTACAGAGAATGCTTTTGTTTCTGGACCAAACACAGAACAACTTTCAAAGGACAGATACTCAAGGAAGTATTAAACTTTCTTGAAGAAATTAGCACTCTGAAGTCATAATGACCATCAGATAAACAACTGAAAGGACAGGATGGGAGAACATGTCCAGTACATGAGAGCAACATGGAGAAATCTGAGAGTATCCAACTGTCTTAAAAAATGGACTAGAAACATTGTCCAGTAACATGAGGAAGGGAGCTCTGACAAAAACAGCAGCCTTGTTAAGTAGCTTGAACCTATATTTGGTGCCAAGAGTGTGCCAATCAGCATTTAGTCAGCCTATTTCCTTGTGTTATCTACCATGGAGCACACGTATAAAATCACAGAATCACAGAAAGGTTTGGGTTGGAAGGGACCTTAAAGCTCACCCAGTCCAACCCCTGCCATAGGCAGGGACACCTCCCACCAGCCCAGGCTGCTCAAAGCCCCATCCAACCTGGCCTTGAACACTGCCAGGGAGGGGGCATCCACAGCTTCTCTGGGCAACCTGTGCCAGTGTCTCACCACCCTCACAGTGAAGAATTTCTTCCTAATATCCAGTCTAAATCTGCCCTCTTCCAGTTTAAAACCATTCCCCCTCATCCTATCACTATCTGCCCTTATAAAATGGCCCTCCCCAGCTTTCCTGTAGGGCCCCTTCAGGAACTGGAAGGCTGCAATAAGGTCCCCCTGGAGCCTTCTCTTCTCCACATACTCTGGCACGCTATGGCTTTCTCAATCAAAAAAAGGGAGGTCAGTTCATCAAACAGGTATATGGGTGCTCTAATGATATGGAAATTTAGTATTTTGCTCAATGTTCTTGATTGACACACAGCCAGAAACCTTCAAATTGCCCATCGGGCTCCAAGACAACATTGGCAGGAAGTGAGGTTCAGGAAATGAAGCATTACTGCAGGATTGTGGAAGAGGCTGTGAGTTCACTGAGGGAATAAGCAGAGACCATCCTTCTCCATAAACACTCTG